CCCCAAAACCCCAAAACCCCCATAAAATAAAATAAATTAGGAGAGAATTATGAAATAAAATTTAATCTAATTTAGAGCAATGGTAGAGTCTTATTATTATTATTATCTTATTTAAATACACATAAAGATGAGCTAACTTCATATTTTAATGAATTCATTTATATTGGAATCTTTGATGATTAGCTCATTCTTCTCATCTTCCACCACAGAGTACTCAAAGGATGTAATAGTTTCGTTATTAATGCTTGATTCTTCCTTTAAAGTGTTATGGTGCTCCACGATTATCTTATTCTTATCAGACATTAATGCAGTGGTGCGCTTCAATCTATCCTAGCTGTATAATGAGAACTAGGTATACTTTTGGGTTCTTTGAAACAGTTCTTTTTGCAATTCATTGAGATTTCTATCTCTTCGATTTAGCTTTGCCTCTAAGGCTTCAACAGCTAGTTATCTTCTCTCATGCCTAATTGATAGTCCATTTTGATTTCTCTTTTTCATTCTATGCAGGAGTAAAAAGTTCTCACAACTTTAAACAGGGATTGATCCTATCAACAAGACTCTATCTTCTAGTTTTAGTTTGAATTTTGCAGAAGGATTCATTATAAGCTACTCTGTATGCAGACTGTTGAAGTTACATTTGAAATCGGATAAATTCGCCTAAATCTGATAATGCTTTAGACCGTCTGCTAAATCTTGATCGAAATAGGCGTTGCTTCTCTTGTGAAAATTCATATCCTAGTTTTTAATTTTAAATGACTTTTTGCTTTATTCATCTTTGATAAATGAAAATTCTTCTTCAAGCAGGTTATCAGAATGAGTTTAGGATATTTGTCTGTAAATACCGAGGCAAATGCAATTCATTGACAAAAAATCATTCATTAATTCCTCATAAGTTTTGCCTTTCAAACTATATAGAGGAGGAACTTGCATTGAATATATCGTATTATGCTCATCAACCTCAAGATTAGCCTCTGTATTCGACATCATTTTTTTATATTTTTTGAATATATCGTTGTTCACAAATTTTTAAAGTGTCTCAAGATGATTATGATCATCCTCTGTCTGGGCTATCATTGAATCAAATAGTTATGTGAGTAGGATTTTTCCATTCATCATAAAAGGCCAATAAAAGTACTAGCTATATGCTTCTAAGTTCTTAGGCTCATAACCTAACATTTATATTTTAGAATGATCCTAAATCTCTACGATAAGTCTATTGATTTTATAGAATTGTTCTATCATTCTTACAATTTTAATAGCGTTTCCATCACACACTTCCTATTTCTCTTTGTTATAATCTTGTAGGACTATTACTGCGTACGCATCTGTAATACATGACTTATCAAGATGAGATTTGTCAAATGCCTCACCCCAAAAATGGAAAATGTTTCCAAACAAATTGTTAAGTTTAAAGATATCGAGTTAAATATCTTCATTGAAAAAAATCACAATGGGCAAGTCACATTTTAGCCTAGTTGCCTTTATGAAATGAATCAAGCCCTAATTAAACCCAAAAATGAGAATGTGATTTTTAATCTTCCCTTGAATTTTATCCTCATCCCAGAGGAGATATTAATACTTTTTTAAAGAGATTCTGTAAGTGTAGAGAGTTCTTAAATAATTCTCGAAACTTTGCATTAACTAGGTCTCAATTTCTTTCTCATTAAGGACAGTTATGAATTTCTTAGTGATAGAATTCGTTAAAACTTTACTTTACTTTTCTTTTTCTTCCTTTAACTTAACTTCCTCAACTACAGTACTCATTTTTTTAAAGAGGCCTTTCCCAATATTTTATCTTAGTATATTTTAATTAAGTTTACTGTTTGAGACCTTTTTCTCTGCAATTTTAATGTCATTTAATTTAAGAGGCTAATTGTCTTCTAAATCAGGCATTAGTTTTCTTTCTGAGTTATGCATAAAATCTCTCTCAGTATTTAAATTTTCTTGATCTGTATTAACATTTGTCTCTTGCAGTTTTTTAATGAAATTTAAATAATCTTGCTCAGTTTTAGTTTTATCTGCTAAATAGTCAGTCACTTATTGCTAAAATACCTATTCAATCCTCTCTAATTCCATAAAGTAATAGTCATCTAATTCTTAGACCATTAAGTATGCTTTATCGGTTTCTTTAATTGTATACTCTGACCCAGGATTAATGATACTCTACACATAAATCTTCTTTTCTTAAACAGGCACGATTCCAAATAAAATCATTTTCATTGGTTTTTTAAATAATCTCTTAGGATTGTTGTCATAGAATTTCTATTGACTTTTAAATGTAATCTTGACCGCCTCATAAAACTTTTTCCCTATAAATTCTTAAGGTAAGACACAAATTTTAAGCTTATATCTGAGAGATTTGAATTATTTTCTGTTTTATTTGGTTTGATGCTCAGGTGAAATCGGATGTGAATTTACTATGAAAAAATTGCTCATAAAAGGAATAACTCCTGGACTAAATAAAGCATGAGAGAGTATTTCATTTTTAAATTTGCAAATGTTGATTGTGTACATTCTCTCGTTAAAATAAGAGATATAATCCTTTGATAGGAAATTCTAAACTATATTAGAGCAGCACAATTATACGTAAAATTTAACTTACTCCTTGCTTTGTCTCTTTTTATAGCAGAATGGCTTGTAGTTATTAATTCTTGTCTAGTATAGATTCAAGTATTGATCGATTTATTTAATCTTGTGAAGTAAATTTTAAGTATATGCATCGTCCGATTTGGCAACATTTAGATGTCCAATGATATATACTGCTTTGCAATAATGTATGTTTGCTTTTCTATATGTGTTCATATCTATGCCATCTACCGCACTCAGATATTTAACTTTCATTTCTGTAAGAGCATTTTTTGTTAACTTCTCTAAACTGGTGTCTTTAAGAAGCTTTGTACCTATAATAAGAATTTCTGGTATCCCATCAAAAGTCTTCATATCGATTAGATACATCACAAACCTCATAATCTCTTTGGTCTTTACGGTTCCTATAATCACTATATGATCTTGCAAGTAGTAGTATTTATCTTAGAAATTAGCTTGTCTCATAAGTTGTCCTATCTTAGATATATTATCACCAAAAACTAGAAATACACACATTAATATGGTGACTACAACAGTTCTGGCTATGATTGTTTTGGGGATAATATCACCATAACCAACCGTTCCTGATGTAATAATCATATAGTATAAAGCATCTAAGTAAGTTAAGCTTATAGAAAAGGAATCTTCTTGTGTCTCAGAGATAATATTAACCAAAGCAGCCCCCAAAAACTCAATTACTAATAGCTAAGATACCAATAATACCACTTATTAAAGTATTGGTGAAACCTAAATTGTCAAGTAAAGCTTTTCCTCCTCAAGCTATTATGAGTTTAGAGCAGTGTAAGTCTTAATCATTTTCACAAGCCTTAATATTCTTATAACCTTTGCAACTCGCAAAACTCTTATCATTTTAACATGCTAAAAGCTCTCAGTATCCATAATTATCGTAAATATTGGAGTCAACATAGTAACAATATCAATCCAAGTAAAATATTAGCTGAAAAATTAAGATCTTGGAGTAGGAAAAGTAATATAGTTATAAGTAAATTCTATCAAGTAGAAAAATAGAACTACCATATCAATGATAATTTCATAAGTATAATTTTAAATATACTCCTCAATGAGAAAAACAACAATCGAAAAGAAATTGTTTAATATGATGAGTCCAATGAGTAAACTATACAGAAATATTCTGAATCTTTCGAATTTTTTTTGTCCTTATTTCAAAGCTTCTAGAAATTACTTATTCATTGCTGTATCATATTTCTTAAGTTTATTTTTTTTCTTACCTCTAAGAAATTTATTTTTGTAAGTTGACGAAACTATCATCTTAAGCATTTCAGCCTCCTACTCTATCATTTTATTCTTCTCCTTATTTGCCATATCTTAAATGTACCTTAATTGGTTTGTAAAATCTGCTTTTTTTGAAGGGTCATTTTAAAAGGAATTTGTAAATATATTTTCTTTGTTGTTTATCGAAACATTGGGGTCATTTTCGAATTCCCTTTCATTTTCAAGCTAAATATATTTTGAATTCAAATCTTGATTGCCACACTTTGAAGAATTCTTCATTGTTTAAGTCATTGGTGTAGTATGTAATCCATTTCAAATTCTTGAAAACAAAATAGAATGCGGTGCTGTTTACTGCCTATTTAGGTTTCCTGGAGTTTAAATTTTAGCCGCCACAGTTTTCTTAAAAGCGTGCTTAGTAGTTAGAGATTTTTGGAATCTGAGAAAAACTTGCATATTTTGATCTAGTTCATTAATATCTGACTCATCTAACTCAAGTTAATCGTCCTCAAATTGAAATACCATATTACTATACTTTGCTTTCTTGCTATGATCAATGGTATTTACAATCTAGTTGGTATCTGAATTAACTTTATCAAGCTCAAGTTACGGAGTATTACTATTGCCGTTGAAAATCGCTTGATTTTCATTAATAGACTTAGGTTTCATTAATGAATAATTTAAAAATTTTTAAAAGGAAAATATAATCTCTATGAGTCTCAAGACTCCTATACCTTATAAATATGTAATTTTGAGTTGAATTTGAAATTGATTAATATCACCATTCTCTTTTGGATGATTATAATGCAATTAAGGGGTTTTGGGGTTTTGGGGTTTTGGGG